TTATGGTAGAGCACATATTTTGTTGAGCGCCACTTGATTCCCTTTCGATGATATTGGCAGACATAAATATCTGATAAAAAGACAAAAGACAACAAAAAATATATATACGCAAAAAGAACAATTAAAAAGCGGACACGGTTAAAGCAGTGGGGACACAAGCAATAGCATCATCAACAACCAACAAGAGGGAGAGAGAGATTGATAAAAAAAAAAGGTTTTACAAGAGCAAAATAAAATAAAATAAAAGTTTAAAAAAATGTAATAAAGAAAAACGGAATCTGGGTTGACGGTATTGTACAAGATGAAATTTACTTTAAAACCATTCTTTTCTTCATTTTCGCAAAAATTATGTACTGGCACTAGCATTAGTTGAATTCACCAAATACATTGGACACAATATACCTTAAATTGAGAAATACTGGAAGAGAATTCAATTTAAACACATTTTTTGATGTTACAGAAAATTCTCAGCTTTCTGTAGATTTTTTTTTTCTCCTCTGTTGCTTTCTATAGCAATCTCCTTAGACACTGAGTGGCTGTAGCTGGCGAAAAGTGCTTCAACAGAAAATGTAAGAAAAATAATTGGCATTCGATTGAACAAGTCTGATATCGTCAAAAAAACGACGAAATGTTTGTAGCTTATTTTTTCTGAACGAATGGAATCCAGTGGACATTTTAAACATGGATGTTGAGGTGTTTACTACAAAGTACAAAATTTATGGATTTCAGATTTAAAAACTATTCAGTTCTGATGATATTGATATGTCTTTTTACTGAACTGTGAAGTCTAAAGTTCTTTTGAGCAACTGAATTTCCAATGGATGCAAGATATAGTCAGCAGCGAAATAAGGGTTGAATGGAGGATAAAATAATAGATTCAAGTTGAATAGTAAATTGAACAAATGATTTACAAAGCTTTGCTATGCCTCTGTCAGAGAACTAGCTTAATTCCTTAATTCTAATCTTTATCTTGACACAACTTTGTAGTCCTTCTAATGATTGTAAGCATAAAAACATTTTAAAGAACATTCGCTCTTGGACAGAAACAACAATAACTCCCTTACCTTCTCATCTTTCCAACCCAAGCAATATTCTTTTTACTTACAAGTTCTGAAATTGCCACAAAGTTGATATTAAGCTCTCTCTATTATTTTAAATTCTTTTTATTTTTGTTTATTTATATATTAAATGACATGAAGGAATCATTCTTGATGACTGTATGTGGATGATGCCACACAATAATAAGGATGTCAATTTGATTGCTCTCTTTGAGTGACTGCTGTTTGCGCGCGAAATGTTAAATGAAAGGCAAACTTCAACTCAATTTTCATTGTTTATTCGTTATTATTTATATTTTCATCCACTTTTATGTAGGCATTTCTTATTTTGGTCTTTAGTCTTGAGTCTTTATACTTATTTTTTGAGAAAGAAAGAGTTTTTATTTTTCCATTCTTATAAAGATAAACATACTGAAAGTGACGATAATTGAGAAGTTTGATTGATGTGTGAATTTTACGAAATGCTAGCTTGGCGCCATTGCTTTGTTGTTGGACATTCTTCTTTCGTTTTGAGTGAGTACCTACCTCTATTTTTTTCATTATTTATATTTCATACATATAAATGCTGAAATCTGCTCTGCTCTACTGCTCGCTTATGTATGTATGATATAAATGTCCATCCGTCAAAAAGGCAAAGCCCAAAAATGAGATCTAAGGTCAAAGATCGCTTACTTTACCAACTAAATGATACTTATGATGTGCTTTATGTTTTATGTACTTTTGCAATTTATCTGAATGAAAAATGGAAATAAAATTGCGAATGCAATCTTGCATAGCGGGAGGTATGTAAGATTTAATGGAAATAGAAAAATGAATCAATTAAGGGGACATGTCGATACATTTACTTCAATTATAGCATTAAGAAAAGATGAGAATAATGATGAGAATGAAATTGGATGAGATATAAAACGACGAATGAAATGAAGCAGAGGAAATAAAAATTCGATGACGAATGCCAATATGCAAACGGGTATGAATTTAAGTGGAAGATAGAAAGAGAGCTCAATTTAAATTCCAATGATGCTCAAATTTTCTTTTCTTCTTCTTGTCTGCTTCTTATAATTTTTCATTTCTCATTATCATGATCATTATGAAATGAGTAAAGGCATTTATTTTACATAAATTTTGAGAATGTTGCTGATATGGGTTCCATTGATTGATTTGAGATGGAGAAACTGCTCTTGTGGTATAATTTGTTTATTTTTGTAGATTCTTAGAATAAATTCCGCAAGTTTACATTTGAAAATCATCTTAAATTTATTCATAATTATCAAAGCAGATTCTTGTTATAAGTTAAGTTAAAATAAATCAGGATAGAGCGGAATAGAGCTTAATAAATTATCTCTAGCTTAAAATCTGCATTGACGAACTTAAACCTTGTGGAAAATGATTGATTAAAGATATTTGTGGATTAAAAACCGAAGCTTTTTATCGAAAACAAATCACAGGTATCAAAATTCAAGTAAACCTAAGTTCAAGTCTTAAATTAATTAATTTCATATTCCAACATTTTTAAATAAATAAATTTTCAATAAATATCAAATCCTCAAAATAAAAGTCAATCAATACTCAAGTTTGCGTTGACTAGAACAATATTCCTTCATAATAACAAACAAACAACGTTTCCAAACTCAAAATATTGCAAAGAATAAGTCATTCAAAGTCTAGTGTCAGATGAAATCTAGTTTTTTGAAGTACTCAAAAGCAATTCTTTGTCTTACTTATTTGATATTATTATTCAATAAAAAATAAATTTGTATATCTGTCTATCAAATGGCATTGGGTTATTTCATAATAACTTCTTCTATGAAATTGAAAATTTAATTTAAAATGATTCATCGATGATCATCATACGTCAGTGTACATATGTTTGTACCTAATACACTTTGAGAAAATTCCAAAAAAAAATAATAATCATATACCGAATGAATACATAATTCTCAATTGGATTATAAATGAAAGCAATTGGAGCAATGAGTAATGACAAAATAGTGATTTTACTCGTTCGATTTCTGTCAAGATATCTGGCGGTGTATTTTTGACCTATTGAATTCTATTCTCTTTCTTTCAATTTCATTTCCATTCATTTCTTTATTTAGTTTAGTTTAGCGATAAAATAGGTAATCTATATCTTTGTGTACATACTTATTGACTTTATTCTCATTGGAATTGGATAATAAATATTCATTTTGTCTGTTTTTAAATTTTGATCTTACATTGCATGAATATATTAGATACTTTAGATAATTGACATGAGGAGTTGGTTAAAGAGTGCCTCCTTGGTATATTAAAAAATCATGTGAATCATGTCATTCCAACAGAAACCTTTGTGATAGTTTTATGTGTTACACTTGTTTTAAGAATCGAACCTAAGTTTTCGAAAAATAGAATATTAAATTATACGTGTTTATTGTCTAGCTATTCAACCACAAGGACCACTTGATTTCTTCTCAAACAATTTGATAAAATTTAATGACTCTCAATTCTGCACTAATCTCAGTTACTCAAATCTAGTTCATAAAATGCGCATAACGGAGATCCAACTAAAGATTCTAGAGACACAACCAGAAATATTTTTGTTTCTTTCTTTAAATAGAAGAATAAAAGATCTTTTATCAATCTATTATTATATCTCTCACCTTCAGTCCATCATAAAATATTTTATGAATGCCGTGGGATTTGCGGCAAAAGCGACGGCATTTTTCTCTCTTCTTCTCGTTATTTGTTTTAAATATGCGTAAAAGTATGAATTGTGATTGGATCTACATAGTGGAAGAGGAGATGTTAAAAAATAAAGAAGAAAAAAAATGTGTGTACATCGATATTTCTGCTTGATGGTGGTGGCTTCAACATCATAGATTGATGGTTTTTGATTAATGTAGTCCGTATATGTGATGATTCATTTCTTCTTATTCTTTACTGCTCTATAAAAAAGCGACCTTACGATCATCTCCCGCAATTTTCATTTTCCCATAAAGTCTTTGCAATTACATCAACACTTTTGACATGATCCATCAAATCAGAGTATATTATCTATCCATAAGAGAATTTTTTTTCGTCAAATATCAAGGAGGAGGCGAGAACAGAAATGCTTTGAAGAAAAAAAGAAACAAAATGTTTCAATTAATAACTTAATTAAACGTTGTCGATTTGTTTGATTGAAATTGAAACATCAAAAAGAGGCAGCGAAAAAAAAGTTGTACATAAAAGTCTTTTACCTACATGCATACACAGATTCAATCAAACTACAACAAGTGATTATTTATTCGCAAGACTGTGTTGAGATGCTCAATACATAAGTAATCATCCAATACATAGAATTAATGGTTATTTATATTAGTGACTGAGGCGTGATTCAAAAGATACCAATGAACGAATAAGTGACGAACTTCCTTCTTAGTGATTACAGCGACGCTATGCGGTGAGATTATTTATTAGGTTTCTTCGGGGATTTTGCTTAGAGTTGAGGAATAAATGTGCTTTTCTCAAAGGTTTAAGCTAAAGCTTCTCGAAAAGCTTTTTTTTTTGGAAAAAGCATTAAAGCTTGAACTTAGGATTTAACGAAAGAAACGTTTTATAGTTTAAGATTCCGTTAATTTTTTACTTCTTTTTAATTTCGCAGTTGAGCTTTTATAAGATTTTGAATTTTGATCTTGAATTAGCTGAAAGTGATTCATGATTTGATCTTGTGTTTTAAGAGCTGTGGAACAACAGCTGCGGATATAAAAACTTAAAATAAATGCTTGATTTAGAGTGACTGTAAGCAAAAAGGGTAATTTTATTGGTTATTGTATATCTTTCCTAAGATTCAATACTGCAGATTTTAATTCCTTTAAGCAAAATCCTTTTTAAAAACTTTAAAAAATATTCATTGAAATGTTTAAATTGTTGTTTATGCATGGCAATGAGGTTGTAGAGCTGTTTTTATAAAGATCTGCAGAGGATATAAATGATTACAAATGATGCAGATGATCGCCAAACAATAGAATTAATTTGAAAAATGTTTCGTTTTCTTTATTTCTCGTACGTATGTTATTCAAAATATAATTTCCAATTTCTCAAAAAAATGTAAACATATTCATCCTAACAACACAAAGTTCTCGACTCGAATTTCTTTATAATTTTTTTTTATTCGCAATTTCATTTCTATTTTTCTTCCATCATATTCTTTTCATTTTCATTACATTTATTATATTATTTATCATAAAATAAATATTTACATTAAAAGGCTTTATTTTAATTTATAATTTTAGATCAAAAAGAGAATTAAGAGCTATTAAAAATCCCTGGAAAAATTAAATTTATCAATCTGAACGATTAGCGAAATTTTCAGTAAATAAAAACTTGATACAGATCAATAGATTTAATTTGAATCTACAAATTTTAAGATTGGAGTTTGCAAGCATAAAGGTTGACATTAACATCGAGACTAGAGCTGTATGCTAGAGGTTGTCATTGATTAAACAAGAACTGAGCTAAGCACATTTCAATGCTTAAGCTGTTTTCTAGCCTAAGGTTAACTTCAGCAGGAGCTGTTCTATTTCTAAGCTTGAAACCTAGCTATAGGCACCTAGCAAAAAACATTGATTGAAATTAAAGTATGAACTCAAAAATATCACTTAGTTTCTCATTAGAAACTTAAGACCATCAGTTAAAAATTCAAAAACCTGCCAACTCCATTGAAGGTATTTTTTGCCAAGAGATTCTAAAGATTTTTGTCGATACGATGTTAAATATCATTGAAGATTCAACAATTTGTAAATGATATGAAAGATCAATTAATAATCGTTATAACTCAATGTGCATGAAATAGTCTTCATCTTTTTCGGATCCAAAATGAGTAGTAATTTTAAAATTATTATGCTTCATATATAGTAAGTAATTACCGCCAAAAGAATTTATAAAATTTACCGCTTATTCAAAACTGAATTTCGAAATTTTTTTAAATTTTTTATTTTATTTATTTTTCGTCGTATTTCTCTTTAAATCGTTTCGCAAAATTAATATAAATAGGTTGATAAAACCATAAAATTTAGTAAGGGAAATGGAAAGATCAAAATAAATAGTATGTGTGTGTGTATTTAAAATAATAAATAAGAAAAGTAAAATTGTTCATTGATGCCACTTAATTTTTATAAATTAATCAAAATAACTTTTCTTAGCTCTATAGTGGCACCAATGTCTTAGAGTCCATTTCGTTATCGTGAGATTCATCATGTGCTTTCTTTATTTTATTTATTATTAGTGTGATGAGAAAATAAATAAATAAATAGATATAATAGGGTGGAAATGCGAGCGTGAATAAATTACGTAAAAGGGATATTTCATTTAAATAAAAAAATTGTTTTGTGACCATCATCTTTCTTGCAAGTTCCCTGAAGATCTACAAAGTGTTCAGCAAGAAAAGAATAGGAGCAATAAATTTTTTCATTTGTTTATCGTTTTGGTTTTTTAGATTTTCATTTTTTTTTTGTTTAATTTTCATTTTCAAAATTTCCAAAAAAATTTTCTTTAAATTCTCTCATAATTTAATTAACTTTCATAAATTCAGAAACATAAGCTGTTGCGCCTTTACGATCGAAATGTCTCACACGGACAAAAAGGAAAGCGGCTACAAGTGATGCAACTGCTAAGACTAAAAGTAACATGACTAATCCACCTACGAAGCTAGGCACTGACATACAGATTGTTTCTGGATCGACAGTTCTTGATGAGATCACGACTGTCTCATTATTTGCTGAATTATTTAATTGGAAGTTGACATCTCCAGGTGCAACAACTTGAATTACTCTGCTTGTATTGACATCTGTCATTTCCTGAGCATCACGTTTGTAGATACGTGGTTTAACAACGAATGACATTGTTTCAGTCTCACGACGTCTTCTGGCTCCTCTTAAATCATCCAAACCTTCAACAGATCGTGGACGACCTCCAATTGTCATTAAATTACCACTATTGTCATATGTATCCTTTCGCTTAACTGTATTATAGCTTTGACCTGGTGGTGGTGGTGGAGGTAAGTGAATATCATTTTGTGATTGATTTGGTTGCTTCTGTTGTTGCTGTTGTGGCTGTGGAACTTGTTCGTCACTTTGATTTTCAGCTGAATTTGGTCCAGTTTGTTGTTGTGGTGGTGCGACGACTGATTCTTGATTTTCTGAGAATGCTCCGTCTGTATCTGCTGGATGACGAGGATCTGGGTAAGCTGCTGGTGGAACACCATATTCTGGTGCAAGATGAGGCCCGCCATATTCTCCCGATGGTCCTGGTAATTCATATCCACCAGCCAATGCTCCTTGTCCATGACATTTTGGTTCGGGGCAGTTATAACGACAAACTTGAATTACACATTGGAAATGTACATTCATTGAATCTGGGAATTTAAATGCTTGGAAGTAGGCGAAACTAACGACAGACGCAGACGGTCCAAAGTTTTTAATTTTCTGGAATTTACTCATAATCTTTGGTCTTACAACGCATCCGTTTTGGTCAACAAGTTGAATTGGTGCACGTTTTCCATCATGTGCTACACAGTTTCTTACAAGCATGTCAAATTTATTTTCATCATCTTTAATAGCAAGTACCATTGTCATTGTCTGACCAATCTTTACAATTCCACTGACTTCTGATGCCCATGGACCCTTTCCGACTTGAATTTGCATCCAACATTGAAGATTATCTCCCAAGAAATTGGCAGTAACGGCATGTAACATATCTACTTGGAATGGTCGGAACGTAACTGCTTTTTCATAGAAATCATACCATGTGCAACGTAATTTACGTGCCTAATAAAATGAAGAAATAAAAGAGCGAAAAAACAAAACAAATAAAACATTTAGTAATCTAGATATGCATTAATTATAGATTTGTATTTCTTACCTGATCCCACACTTCTTGAACATATGGATCATATTGGATGATAATTGTATTCTCAACGTAGCTTCCTGATGGTGTTGGTGCACCGAATTGATTGGCATTATGGTTTGCTGAGCTAGACATACCGCAGCTATTTAAGAAGATTTCGAATGTGGCACTTAAGTGACCAGTTCCAGATTTCATATGCACACAATGTGAATCACTGTAGAAACCTTTCGAGAAAATCATACCGTAGAATGGACGATCAAATTCAATATTAACACGCATGTGAGTCTTTTCACATTGCACTTGTAAATGTTTAATTTGTGGATTATCTTGTGTGGCACCAAGTGGCCATGGATCATCTCCTCCAGCACTTACACCACCACCTGAATGACCCCCGCTTGCATGTCCACTTCCTGAATGTCCTTGGGGTTGTCCATAAACTGGAGAAGGTGGTGGTGGTCCATATACGCTTCTATGTTCTAATGGCAGTGCTGCTGAATCAACTAATGGTGCATCACAATGTACTTTCTGCAAATTAAACAAAAAAAGAAATTAACAACGAAAATGAACGATTTTAAACATATTTTGCGCTCGAATCAACAATGCGTCCAGAAAACAGACACTGCACAGACAGTTAGCTTGTGTTCCCAATCTCAACATTTTTTTCATGTTTTTTCATTTTCTTTCTTCTTCTCTCTTTGTATCTGATAGCCAGTTAGTAATTTTTCTACACACTTCCATGAAGCAATGATTTTCATTTTAATTACTAATATGATGATTTGCCATTAAAAGAAGAAATAAGTTCGAAATTAATCTGCTGCTCATCTTTCTTACACAAAATTTTTCTTCTGTAACGTACTTTATTTTCGTTGAACTAGTACACTGCTACATTTTCTGACCGACTTGTTGTGAGAAATCTCGTGAAGAGCTATGCGACAAAAACATTTTGCGAATGTTCCATTAAGATTTCATCTTGGTTATGGGCATTGGAATGAAAGTTATTTTTAGAAAGAATTCTTCTTGCCTTTATTGAAATGATATTTGATGGGAAATGAAGGGAGTTGTGGCAAATTATGAGAAATGTTACGCATCTAAAGATACTTTATTGAACTTGTTTTTGATGTTCAATTTATTTTCTGCATTAATAGTTGAGGAGCAACAGTTTATGATGCTCAATAATTATTCTCTACTGCACTAGCATGCTGTACACAATTTTATAAGAGCAGCAGTAAGGCGTGGGCAATAGTTCTTTGAGCTTTGAAAAGTAAAATTAGAAAGACAAAGCTCTTGAAGCATAGAAAGCCTATGACATAAGCTGTTTGACAATCACTGTCGATAGAAAGTGAAATCGCAATTAAAGTAAACATAACTTTCATCGAAATTTCAAGTTGTCAGCAAGTATGCTTAAACTTGTAATCAAAATGTTCAGCGTTAGTAATTGCCATGTCAGAAATTGTTGATATAACACACTCGAATAATTTTGATTATGTGGGTATTAATACTAAGTGATGCCGAGAAATGCATTTCATCTTAATCTTTAAATCGAAACAGCTACCAACATTTGATTTCTCACTTCCTCCTCAACTAATGTGTTATAATTACTTCTTGAGCAAACTGATTCTCCCATAACAGAAATATTCATAGTTTCTTCCTATCAGTTGCAAACATGAGATATAGTTCAACAACATTGATGATTTTGAAGCGAAAAAAAAGCGAAAAGTGGATTTTCGGTATGCGATTAAAGAAAAGAGATGTTGAGAGCGAGAAGGAGTGAGCAACAATAAAGAAAAGAAACGAAAGAAAAAAAAACTTTCTTCTTTCGCTTAACTGGATGTGGCGCTACTTTTAAAGCTATCATTTATAAATACGTATTTCTTTTTATTTATGGTAAAGAGAAAGATTTCTATTTCATTGATTCTATTCATTTCGATCCATAATTAATTAAATATTATAAAATGGATGTGTTTCTGGCTTCGTGTCTGTTCCGAGAGATGGCAAGAAGCAACAACTTACAATGAAATTGTGAAGAAGAATGGAGAACAAAAGAGAGAATTAGTTGATGGTCGTATAAAAACAATATCACGCCCGTAAAATCTTCTGTCACCTCCCGTTCATTCCCAATCTCATTTTACTCTTCTTAATTTCACTTAAAATAATCGCTCGAAGCATAATGGAATTATAGGAGTACTAGACATTGATATGTCATATAAGAAATTTTAATTTGCGAAATTATGATTTAATTTATTCGATGAATGGACAATTAAATTATAAGTTGATAGATTAAGCTTAGCATACATACATAATTGAACATGAGATGTCAAAAGTGATACAGATACAGATTTCAGCTCATTTAAAATGACTCTGCAAGATTGCTAAGCAAACAAACGTAATTGTCATTGAATTGAGATTGAGATTTCTATTTCATCCGATTCCAACCAGATGTTTCATGACTACTTCAGGAAATTGAAGAAAAAAAGTGGTGAAATTCTTGAATTGAAATTTAAAATGGGGATTTTTGAAACCTTTTTAAAAACATGAAAGATGAGAAAATTGAGCAATTCAGCCTCTAGTTAAAGGGTTATTCAAAAGTTAAGTCTAATAACATTTTGATTTATTTTGGAGCTCATAGATAAAAAATTGGGTCTTATAAAGATTCAAATTTTCCAATCTCTATCTGTTTGACATCATTTAAGGATGAACCTTTATAGTTTCGAAAAAATTGTAAGAAATTCCTGATTCGATCAGCTTTTCTTTACTCTACAAAAATAGTAATAAAATTCATTTAGGAAACATCAAAATCTTATAAAAATTCATTCCAACTTCCTTCAAAGTGTGCCACAAAACCTCTTAAAAGCTAGTCCAAGTCAACATACTTAAGCACTAATGAAACCCATCAAATATTTTTAATGAAATTTAAGACAATACAGCTTGATGATTTCATGGTACAAAAATATAGATGTGAGGAATGAAAAGTATGTGACATGACAGCATCTAATTAAATTTCAAACTGCTAATTTAATAAAACATAATAGCATTTAGGATGAAATAAATATACCTGAATTGATTGATGAACAAGAGAGATAGAAAAGAAAGAGAGATGTTGAACGATAAATTATGGTCAGCAAATTGTTTTTGATTACAGCTATTCCGTGCATCAGTATTAACAATAATTAAATGAATGAATTTCATAAGAAATCGTGAGTTTTTTTTTTGCTTGCTAATTAAAATTATTGCCGTTTTAAGACATGGGATTGTTTGAAAGTTACGTCGATCAAAAATTTGATTTAAAATTTCGAATTCACTTGTCGCTCGTATTCCTAAGCTATAATTAATTCTTTTTAAATGCCACGATGCTCCACTCACTTAGTCTGTTGTACGTCATAACCAAACGACTCCAAAGATAATTTTTACTAATTTTTGAAAAGATGCTTTTTGGGTCAGTAAGTGACTAATAACTTATTTTTTTTGCAATATTATAAACATCAATCTTTAAAATGAATGGTTAAAATAGTCAAACTGAATACATAAATTGATAGATGTAATAAAACATACACAAAAGAAACGATAGACTGATTGATTTATATATTATTGAGATGGAGAAAGACTCATTGAAAGAGGAGATGGATGAATAATCAAGAAATAAAGCAAAAGAAGAAGAAGGAGATGAAACTTTTCCAACAACCTAATCGTTAATTTAACAAAGCCAAATTCCGTGCAAACAGTGGGTTTGAGTTAATCAACATTGTAATTGAATCACAGTGTGAGATGAAATGTGGAAGTTCCATATGATATTCAATATAAATTTGTAATTAATAATGTTTCTATTGGTAATTTCCAAACATACAAGTGGATTGGAATCCACCGGCATAGTTGATGTGGGCTGTAAAAGCAGCATAAAGATGAATAAGAAGAAGTCGTCAAGAAAACGAGAAAGTGAAATATAATAATAATAAAATATCTGTATGCACTTGTTATAGTTTCAATTTCTTCTTTCATTTCTTAAACGACATTCAATCAATCATCAGCTTTATGGCTTTAAAATTTTCCCCACTCATCTTAGCATACACTATTTGATTTATGATGAGAGATCTTCAAATTGTACAAGACGTTTTCCCTCTCTCATTGCTTTATTAGTTTAACATAAAAGCTCACGCGCGTCTGTTAATTGAATGGTTTTACCAATCGCATCATATGGCATTAACTTTAAAAGTATGCGGCGAAATTTTTACTTTTTCTCGCACTTCTCTCTTACTTATGTATAATATTTCATGAACAATTTTATTTTCGTTTGGGAAGTGGGTCAATTAGCTGGAGGAAATTTGTCACAATCTACATTCGCCCTTGAACTTCAGCATCAATAAAAAAATATATATCGGATTTTCTTTCATTCTTCTTTTCTTCGTTTATCGTTCATTGATCGACGACCATTTATGGCAATGACACAACAAAAATAATAAGGAATGATGATGATAATGGTAGTAATAATAATATTATAAATACATATATAAAGCGATATGTCGAAAAGGAATTAATTTCTTTTCATTTTATCTCTTCCGCGTATCAAGATATGCGTATTAATGAAAATATGTTCCGTGAAAACTTTTACTTAGTCGACTGGACTGGACTGGCTTATCTGTGTCAAATTTTTATCTTGTTGGTAAGTTATTTACATTTGTCGACATCATAAGTATTCGATAAGCATTTTAAATATGTTTATATTCACATTTAGATGATGGAAATGAATGAATGACCGAATGGAAATGTGAGAATGTTAAATATTTCTCTCTTTCTTATGTATGTCTGTGGAACTTCTTTTCCCAAATGAAAAAGTAGGGCAACGTTTGATTTTGAAAATTTAAATAAAAAAAAAAACTCAAAAAAGAAGAAGAAAAAAATTAATAAAGTTAAATGCCGATGGATGATTCTCGCTTACTAACACGATATGCCAATTAAAAAATTTGATGCTGTTGTTTTTTTTTTGTGGTAGAAAGAATAGAGGAATGAACCGAAAGAAAAGCGCGAGTATTAAAATAATAAGCATTTAATAGAAGATGTGTGTAGACTTTATGGACGATAGTGAAGAGAAGAATAAGAGAGAATATGGCTCAATTAAAGACAACGGACTATCAAGTCCAATTAGCGGATACTTACGTTTAAACTTAAAAATACTACAAAAGCTATCGCGACTATACTTCGCGATGTGTCGCCCATTTTATGTGATTTCCTATTTGTATTTGTCAGCCTTATTTGAATTTTGAGTTTCAATTTGATTAAAAAATTATCCTATTGGGTTGGTTTTGTCTCACGTCACACAGAATATTGATGCATTCATGTAATCTGCAATGATGAAGAAATAATTGAATTCATTAGATTTTATTTATTTTTTATTGTCGATTGCTAGCTTGTTTGATGTATTCTTCCGTTTTAATAGTTCTAGCATGGAATTTTTACGTGACGAGCTACACATTATGACAATCACATGGATGCAATAAGTCAAACGGTTGACATATAAAAGTTCTTTTTTGGACATCATACATTTAAAACTTATTAATAACTAGATCGCAGCAGATCGCAGGACTATAAAAAAATTTATTGAACCTTCACCAAAAAATGTTATAGTTGATCACAGGACTAGTTTTTATCTAGACATTAATGTGTAGTGTCTTACAGTCATTATTTAATAAATAAGGAAACTTTGTGATTGCCAGCACAATGACTTCAACTTGAGATTCACTGATCAATTGTTTAAATTAAAAATCTTTTGGACATTAGTTTGGATTTTGGAACAAAGTTTCTTTCATGCACAATTTTTCACATTTCATTTTCAGTCCATTTTCACTTTTACTTTTTAGAATTTTCGACAGTTCCTGTATCAGCACTTTTTTCACTTTATAATTAATTAATGTTTTTTTTATGTCCAATTGATCATGAAAAGTAAGCACTTAAATTTTGTCAATATGGGAGTTAACAACCATGAGATCCATTTGTAGTTTTATGTGGATTCTTACTAGTGTTGCTCAAGGTTTTATTGGAAAAATACATCAATTCAAGCTGGATATATTTTTAACACTATAAATACAAGCGAGGAAAAGCTTCTTTTAATAATAAGACAAAGCATTTATTTTAATTCATTGTTAATTATTTACACCTTTATATCTTTTTTCACTAAGATAATAATAATATTGAGACTCGAAGCGCACTCACAAAAATCATAAAACAAAAAATTTCACTGATTAATGAATTTTCACAAAAGCTCATTAACGTGAAACGCAAATTTTCTTTTCCCCATCATCATTCACCAACCACTCTCATCACTTGAATTTCTTTATAAAAAAAATTTCACGGCTAATTTTTGTGGATCATTTTCTCATTTTTGGGTGAAAGTTTCTTTTTTAATTATTAAACAGTGAAAAAGCAAAATAATTATTTTTATGCAATTTTTTTTTTCGGGTAATTAGCATTTCTTATTCATTATTGCCTCTTAAATTGAATATAATTTGTATCGTAATTATTTTAATTCTTCTTGAATTGCTTTATTTTCTTACCAAAAGAAATTTATTTTATTGAGTATCCAAGTTAATTAAGACAAGTCACTGTATTGTGTAAGACTGCTAATAATCGACTTTTTGCATTTCAATATTTCGCCTTTCTTCGTTACTAATCAATGTAAACTTTTTATTAATTATTGCACATCATCCAAACTTTATTTTTTCTTAACGTTTCTTTAACTTCACGACTATTGCGCTCGAATACAAATTCAGTCTTTCACAGTCAGTTTATAACTGAATTAAAAATTTTCACTTTAAAAAATCTTTCCATGCTTTTCTCTTCTCCCGTACACATATTTCTTTTTTTTTTCTTGGAGATCCCCCGTTCGTTGGAAGAGAAACTACGTTCAAAACACAAAAATATATAAGCAAGAAAAATGAAAATATGAAAGATATACAGAAAGTTAATGCGGTGCTACTTGCTACCGCTCAAATCCGTACATATGATGCTTATTTGTAGAGATTACGATGTTTTGCAATTTTGACTTTTCAAGAAGACTGTTTTAATTGAATTTTCTTTGTTTTGATAAGTTATCGACTGAGGATCAGCTATGAGATTTACGACTGTCTGCCGACGTGTGTGATTTCTAATTTTGCAATGCAAATTTTATTTTATTCATAATTAATTAACTTCGAAGCTTCTGGGTATAAATAGTCGTGCTTGGTTTTATAATTTGAATAATTTTGATATCAACTTTAGACAAAACGTCATTAATTGTGCCTCCCATTAAGAATCACAATATTCCAGTTATATCCAAAATAAAATCATGAATTTTTGCATCTTTTCTTTTTATTCATCACCTGCTTCTTCTTAATTTTCATGCCAATAATAATAAATCATTTAATAAATAAAAGTTATAATTTAATATCGTACGTGTGTGCTACACATATATGAGGATTTTTGGAGAGAGCCACTGAGAGAAGAGGCTTAAGTGCTCAATCAGAAAGTGATTAATGCACTTGTTGATGTAAGTGAATTAAAAGTGTATTTGTGTCGGTACAAGATTGTATGCATGTTCCATTAACCTACTGATATAGAACAATCAGTTAATTCACTTAAAAGCAAAAACCCGCCTATCTGGAATCTTTTTTCTTTCTTCCATAAACGAGGAATGGAAAGAAGAAACAGAGGAAAAAAAAGAGACTCGATTAATTGCAAACTTGTTGCAATATTTTCATTTCTTTTTTCACTTTTCATGCGCATTCCACTTGAATATCTCGTTCATTGTATGTTTTGTTGCTGCAGTGATTTTTATAGGTAAATGAACTTAATGAGATGAATTATTATTAATCATATTGGTTCCTGGTCATTAACATTTTTCATAAATTTTTATTTTATTTGTTTATAAATGAAACGATCGATTGCGATTGTGAGAAAGACACCATAACAGGATTTTGTGTCGTTTATTTCCGAATGTCTATAAATGTTTATCACGTAAAAAATTTCGCAACCTCAAAAGAACCTCAAAATAAAAATGAAAGTCTCTCGTTAAGTGAGTCCGCATCAAAGTGAAACACCTTTTAATAAATATTTGCATAAATCTTTTTACGAGTGAGGCTCAGAAAGGTCTCATTGGCATATCATGAGCTTTATTTAAACAGAAAGTGAAGGTATATGTGCTAATCACATTCGCAAATTCCATCAAATCATTTGTATCATTTTCTTCGCATTTTTAAATCTTCAAATAAGAATCGTAAATATTCCAAATCTCCAATCCATTGGACTCTTTCCGCGCGCGAGCTAGTCTTATTTGAGATTTGCTTAAAAAGAAAGTTTCTTATTTTCTTCATCTTGTTCACAGTAAAAAAAAACAGGTGCGTGCATATTCTTTTCATCTTCTCAAATCATATGTGATAATAATTTACTGAATGATCGGCTAAACGAGAGAGCTTCGGATACTCATCACTAAATGTGACGTCTGTCTTTAGTTCATCATGAATATACAGATGGTGTCATACTGTTTAATAGTGTGCCAAAGCTTTTTTGGAAACATAGTTGTTGGAATCTATTGACAATGAGATTAAACTGTCAAAAAAAAAATTTAAACAGATCCGAGGTATGCAGTTAAGTGCCTTGCTGGTCGAATAGGTAAGGTGCTTGGCTCAAATTTGGGATGGTAACTCGAAGGGCGTCGGTTCGAATCCAGCCATTTCCAAATTTGTTCTTTTTCAGAAGTTTAGATACCATAATTGTCAGAACGGACCTGAAATGTATCACGTCACGCCCACAGAAGATTGAAACGACAGCCTGAATTTAATCGAAACCTAGATTTGAAGATTAGAAGCTTGATTCTACGTCACCCATAGTGATATGAAATGTATCACTAATCAATGTAAAAAGTAAAACATGTATAAATACTAATTCTTCCGGACGGTAACGTCGACAAATAAATAATAATAATATGTCCCTAAGTACGCCCCTAGCAATCCTAACTCATAAGTAATGAATGATGCAAATTATTTCCAATTATTCTTCGCAAAAATTTAAATAACAATTTGAGTTCCATTGGCGCACCTTTGTCACTTTTATTTATTTATTCAATTTATCTCCACACTTCTTTTCATTCTCGTCTCTGTGCTCAGTGTCGTGCTTGTTTTCACAAATGCTTATTTGTTATCGATGATTGAAAATGAAATAAATTTTTATTTTTCTGTACATTTACTGTTATTCTTTGCACTTCTCTTTTCTTTTTCACCAAAGAGTTGCCCAAAAAAAAAAGTTTCATTATTTGCTTTTCACCAAAAAAATCAAACCGCAACGTGGTTGATGTGTGGCTTATGTTTATTATTTGTAATTTATATTATTTCTGATATATTGTGCTTACTTTTTGCTGGAATGAATTCGATTTCAATTTCTTTTCAGCTACTTTGTAAGACCACCAGCAAAATTATTTTGTATTTTGTGAATGAAAGGGATTTTTTTTTTGGCAAAGTGGATTTACGTAGCGGTAAATATATTTGTGAGAATTTTTTTTTTCATTGTGAATGCCAAAGCATTTAAAGTCAATGCAAATTTAATTATTTCAATTATATTGACTGGATGGAGTATAGTCAAGAAAAAGAGGAGTTTAATTGGTGTCAAATCACTCCACCCCTCTTCGTCTAAATAGCCTCAAATTTATAGAAACAAAAAACACCATTCAATATTTCTGGATGTCTTATTGCTAAGGTATCAATCCACATATTTGTTGTAATATTCCCAAAATTCCCTGCAGCGATTTCACAACATTAATCGTACATCAATTTGCTCATGTATTACAAACAACAATGAACTTGACATTGCCAATTAAGTTTACGCCTTCTCAGTCGGTAACAAACTATTAAGTTTTTTGCAAGATCCACAGGTTACTTTCTTCCGACAACATCATTAGCTCCCACTTTTATTTGCTTAAGATACTTTGAATGACCGTCAGTAATTTGACACATAAAGTACACTTGCGAAATTGTTAACAAGAAATAGTTTCACTGAAATCGTTTCATGCTTTTTGGAGAATCGTGTTCATTTCTGTGTGTGACTTTAAATCGAAAAAAGCGAAAATTCAGAAATCATCAAACAAGAAGCTAAAAATTTGCATTGTAATAATACCAAATTAAAACATTTCATTGTAAATATTTTCATACGTCTTGAACCCAACCCAATGGAAAGTATTTCGAGTAGCATGTCAATACAATGTGAACAATAAATCAAGAAGATAAAGGAAGAAGAATGTGAAGTAAAATGTTCAGAAGTCTCATGAGTCAACAATTTTTTTTTATTATTTCATTTCAATTTCTTCTTTCACATGATGATGGATAAATAATCATAATAAACATCATCATCATCATCATACAGCCTATAGCTCGACATACACCATCCGACCTAATTCACTTCTTCTTTTACTATTGTTACTAAGTGCAGGTGGATCAGAAAATGCATTTATAAAAAATTAAATAAGAAAAATGAAATGAACAGGATATTAAAACGTAATCATCGAAAATTACTCGGTCGCTAGATCCTAATTTCACTCACATCTCGTCTGACTCAAATTTTTTTCAAACATTTTTTTGTTCCTTCATGAACATAATGCATGGAACAACAATAATAACAATAAATCTATTGCGTGACGCATCACACAAAACATTGACGATTAAAAATTAATAAAATCAAGAATGAGAAGAAGATTGATGTATGGTAGGTCAGTGACGTGCGTTCTGCTTTTGTTACGATATTTTCTTTAGATTAGATTAATGTATTTTTGAATGCTACTGCCACCAATGATTATAATTAGCTCTGAAACATGAAATTACAGATTTCGTTTGGTCGAACATTTTTCTGTAGATCCTTAATCTAGTCCCACAAAATTACTCATCTCCTCATAATACATCCAGGAAAGAGATGGCATCGAATAGAATTTCTCACACCCCTTCCATATGATTAGTTCAAATAATCAAAATAATGATTAATGTACAGCCTACGGTCGCTTTCATTTATTTTAATATAGCATTTACAAAAGAATTTGTATTGCATCGACATCCTGTATAGAGGAAATAATTTTCTCCTCGTAATGCATTTATCTAAATACAATAGTCTATTAAATCTACCCAGATATGCATGAGTCTATCATTTGTCTTTCGAATTTCTTCGGATTATCGTTGGAATGTGTCTCAAAATATCTTGATCGAAACAATTTCGAGTCTATTTCTCAATTTTAGCGTAAACGATCACGACAAAATAAATTGTTGGATGAAAATTAATCGCCGTATTTGGGGTGTTTGTGATGAAATTTTAAGAAATCAACAAAATCGATTTACTTTTCTCACATTTGGTTTAGATTCACTTAATGCAATGCTTGTTTTCACTTTTCACGTGCTGCCAGTAAATTGATCATTACTATTTCAAGCTTGTTATATATTTTTGGTTAACTATTCTGTGTCAATTGCATTTTCTATAGTATTCGAAACTGTCTACACGAGGGTTTCATAAACTATATACCAAAAAGCCTTGGTTATTCTTTTTAAAACATTACATGGTTTCAATCAGAGTGTCAACCCGTTGAAAACATTTTATAATGTAACACCCCGCCTAACATGACCTGGCAAATAGCAGCAATACAGCAAATCTCTATTTTCCAATTCCTTATGCTCTCAATAATTTCCATTAACAGATTAATGGCTATATAGTCAAGTGATAATTGCAAAATTATATTATTGAGGATACCGATAATTTCTCCTTT